ATTTTTAAATTTCATTATTGAAATGCTTCACTAATTATAACGACTCTTGGGAATCTGAATTATTAAAGGCCATAATAAGAGGAGTTGCATTGGGCTTTTTTATGTCTTTAACCCTTAATTTCCCGTTAATCTGAGGGATAATGTTGCATTTGTGTGGTTATTTATTCTCTCTATAAATGGTGAATTTCTGATAATAAATATTGCTTTTTGAGATCATTTGTGTTAATTAAAGTATAGAGTATGTTTCCTCACTATATTCATTTTCTATGTTCAACTTCAGAGTGGATTCAAACGAGATCCCGTCTTAGAGACAAGTGTTGAATTTATTTGTGCGGCAAAAGCGAACTCCAGCTTCTACTCACGGCAGGCACTGCATCAACAAAGATTCAATTTGCTCCGAACCGCTCCGAACGCCAGTATTTTATCACCCGCCAATGACCGAATTCCTTTTCACCTAGTCCTCATGGGTAGAGATGGTTTAAATGCGCTATCAATTGAACAACTTAGTACGTTAATTGGCTTTTCTGCGCTGGGAAGTAGTGAAAAAGGAATGCTTTGTCATTTAGCGATCCCATTACCTCTGCACGACAGTCCGCTAACATTTCATCTGATTCGTCTAGAACGAGAAGATCGTCAACTGACCTGTATGGCTTTCTTTGAAACTGCACTATTTGTCTACCAAGCTGCAGCTGCACTCGCTCACTTTGAACCAAGAATTAGTCCTAGGCAGCCTGCTCACTTTTGCATAAGCAAATTCGGCCTTTCTATCGCAGCTGAATCAGCTGAAACGGGCTTGCCGCCTATTTTGCCAGGGCAGCCACTGGCTGAGGTAGAACGCCTCCTGGCGCCAACACTAGCTCGGATTGAGACATTAGCCTTATGCGGATCACTCGGTCCTGGGGAGACTTGCTTCACAGAAAGGGATAAACAAAAAGTAAGCTATTATATCCTATATTTTTTTATTAATAGACATTGTCATTATCTTATCTTGATGATCATGTTAGAGCATGCGTATTATCTTTTCGACCAATCTCATTATCATGGAGAAAAAATCTAGAAACATAACAACCTAACGATAATTATTCATGACAATGATAAAAGAGTCTCTCATAAAATTTTTCTTGCAGCTCTTCAAATGGCTTTACATCAGGAATATATATGAATTCCTTGAATTCTAAGACAAATCATCCTTTCTGCTTGCTCTCAGTGTCGGCTAAAAATGACCCTTTCAGTAGCTATCTATGCATCACAAACTATCTTGGCGTGAATGTGTATCGCACGATAAGATTTCAGTCTTTTTTAATGCACCTCTGTCTAGTATTAGTTAAAAGATCACTAGCGAAAATCCAGGGTGTAGCTATGTGCCTGAACCTAACGTACAAACAAACTCTTTGTGCGCCCCTTTTGATGCTCACGATTGAGCGGATTGTTGGGCTGGTCGTAGCATTTCATAATCAAACATATTAATCTATTTTAGTCCCTTTTTCGGCTGGTTGACTCAGACTGAGTGCGCTACCAACATATGTGTCTTAAGTCACCTTTAGCTGGCATGCGAGCTAACTTATTGCTCAAAATTCGATCCGGTTCTTCTCAAATTACCAACCCGAGTCAATTCCGCTCTTTCTTATTTCAATAGCCTTGCCTATATGGACGATACATAAGGTATGTTTTTCCACGAACGGCCTACGCGTTCATTTGAGACGTTAATGTACAAATCCAACTTGATTCTATATGCAAAAGCTTTACATAATTATCGGTTATATGCCAACCAAATTTTCATTTCCCTCAATCTTTACATTATCTCACTTTTTTATTTTCCTCTTGCTCATTCCAGGGTGAGTTTTATCTTTCTCAATATAAATGTGTGGTTGCCGGTCTCTATGCCTAACGGCTCCTGGAAGAGACAAGATGGATGTGCAGTCTTGAGTAACTGATTAATAAGTATTTAATTTTACGCTATTCACTGAACACAGATACGCATTAAAACCAGCTGTATATAAATAAAAAGCATGTACTTCGGCTGTATGAAGCAGGTAAATGCATACGCGCTTTATATATTTTTCAATACTGGCTGTGTAGCAGCATATAAAGAAGTATGAACACAATTATATTTTCATGCAAATCATTACTTTCATATGGGACATACTATAAAGGAGGGTTGTGCTCAAGTTAACTGT